TTCCTGCACTAGAATGTCAGCTCCAGGAGGGCAGGGACTTTGTCTTGTCCCATGCAGAATCCCCAGTGCCTGGCACTAAGTAGATGTTCAAAAAATACTTGTTAAACCAGGCACAGTGGCTCACGCCCGTAATCCCAGCACTTTGTGAGGCCAAGGCAGGTGGATCATTTGAGGTCAGGAGTTCGAGACCAGCCTGGCCAACATGATGAAACCCCATCTCTACAAAAGCACAAAAATTAGTCGATCGTAGTGACGCATGCCTGTAGTCCCAGCTACTCGGGAGGCTGAGGCAGGAGAATTGCTTGAACCCAGGAGGCAGAGGTTGCAGTGAGCTGAGATCACGCCATTACACTCCAGCCTGGGTGACAGACCAAGACTCCATCTCAAAAAACAAACAAAAAACTCCCCAACTTTTTGAATGAAGAAAGGAAGGAATTCGGGCAACGTGGATCAGCCCTGCATCCGTGTTGAACCTCTGCTCTCTGTAATAAGTCAGCAAGCTTAGCCCCATGGCCCTGGCCTCCAAAGGGAGAAGAAGGAGCCCCAGCCTAGGTTCAAATTTGTGTCCATAATAATAATATTGATGTTTGCTGAGCACATTTTATGTGCTCAGCATTGTGCCGTGCACTTCAAAGCATTGTTAGATCATTTATTTCTTTCAAAAGCCTGTTTGTTGGGCAGGCACGGTGGCTCATGACTGCAATCCCAGCACTTTGGGAGGCCAAGGCAGTTCGGATCACTTGAGGTCAGGAGTTCGAGATCAGCCTGGCCAACAAGGTAAAAGCTACCAAAAATACAAAAATTAGCCAAGTATGGTGGCAGGCACCTGTAATCCCAGCTACTCAAGAGGCTGAGGCAGGAGAATCACTTGAACCTGGGAGGTAAAGGTTGCAGTGAGCTGAGATCACAAGACTGTACTCAAGCCTGGATGACAGAGCGACACTCATCTCAAAAAATAATTTATAATTAAGTCAGAACAAGTCCTTATCTAAAAAAATAATAATCTGTGTAATTAAAATACCCTTAATGCAAGCTGTTTCTGAACCTCAAAGGCAGAAGAGGACTCAAATGATTCACTTCTGGCATAAAACCTATACAAGGAATTTGGACCTCTGTCTTTTGAGACTTCTTGGCTCTCAGCTGAGATAGCAGAGTCCAGTGAACAAAACATGGCTTTTGGAGCCAAACAGGTGGGGGTTCAAATTCACTCGGCAGCATGTACAGCCATGTGACCTGACCAAGCCTCTTCAAACCCTGTCATCTCTAAGGGACTGTTGTGAAGATGAGATGAGATAGCGCAGTTGTCATATACAGAGTGCCTGGCACCAAGGACCCAGGAAACACGTGCTCCCTTCACCCTTTGCCTCTCGTCTGAATTCCCCGGAAAACACAGACTGGTCTGGAGCACATGTAGATGCTTCACTTCTTCTCCATCGCTCTGTTCAAATGGGCTGTCATGCTCAGGAGGGCCTCAGATGTTCCCACCTAGACAACAGGTGGCATGTCTGGTCACCCACCAGAGTGGTGAGCTGTGTCCCTAGGAATAGCCATGCCTGTGGCTGAGTAGAGATAGGTTTTCTAGCTTCCGGGATACCTGGAAGTAGGATCAGAAGAAGGAGCCAGCCTCAAAGGCCAGGGGGACCCCTGGGGTAGAGGCCCCAACTTGGGCTTTGTCCCCATATTACTAAATCATGTCCCTGCTTATTGCCACCTGCCAGGTGAGGGCCAGGAATGGGAAAGTAACTCACCCTCCTCAACAGTCAAGTTTCCTGGATATGATCCAGCAGCAAGGCTCAGGGCTGTTGTGAGGATCAGATTCATAGGGGAGCGTGGGAATCCCACGTTCGTCATGGTGCCGGCTTGCGTTTTGTTCTTCAGTGCATACAGGCAGGGCTGGCCCTGGCCCAGACTGTGATGTCAGGACTCTTCCCCCAACTTTGGTTTTCTCCAGCACTCAGAAATTCATTGTTCCCTTTGGCTTCTTAACACAGAAGCCGATGCAAAAAAGTCATTCACATCAAGGTATGCAAATCAGTGAAGAACACCTAAATGAGAACAAGTGAAGGACAGGAAGAGTCACCGCCGTCACGTGCAGCCTCAGTGCAGGTGTGGGATGGGAAAGCTTTAGAATGGTCAGAAGGGAAGGCTCCAGTGCAGGCTGTTGACGCAGGGAAGCCGTGGGCAGCTACAAGTAGCACCCCAGGTGACTGGTTAGGGGGGCATATTTGGCTTTCTTAGGTTGGTCCTGAGTTGGAAGTAAGAGTAAAGAGTTTGTGGCAAAAATTGGGGGAAGTGGCAGTCCCTGAGCAAATCCTGATCGTTTAGGGCCCACTGCTGCAGAGGTCCTGGTTGGGCATCTCTGCTAGTTATTACGGAAGTTGTGAAACATATTTTTACGTATGAACTGGCCATTGTCCCCTTTGTATATTCAGTCCTCAAAGGTATTAGGAATCTGGCATCTGCCTATTCTTCCTGGGAAAGACTTCATCTCCCAACAGTCTTTCATGTTTTTGTTGGTTTGTGAGATGGAGTATCACTGTGTTGCCCAGGCTGGCCTCAAATTCCTGGGCTCAAGCAATCCTCCTGCCTCAGCCTTCCAAGTAGGCACACACCATTGCACCCAGCACTTTTTCGTATTTTAATAGCTGTATTTATTTGTTTGTTTAGTTTTTTAAAAAATTAATTTATTATTATTATCATTAGTATTATTTGAGATAGGATCTCACTCTGTCACCCAGGCTGGAGTGCAGTGGTGCAATCTCAGCTCACCACAACCTCTGCCTCCCAGGTTCTGGTGATTCCCCCAATTCAGCCTCCCAAGTAGCTGCGATTACAGGTACATGCCAACATGCCCAGCTAAGTTTTTGGTTTCTTGGGTTTTTTTTTGGTTTTTTTTTTTTTTTTTTTTTTTTAGTATTTTTAGTAGAGATGGGGTTTTGCCTGTTGCCTAAGCTGGTCTTGAACTCCTGGGCTCAAGCAATCCCCCCGCCTCAGCCTCCCAAAGTGCTGAGATTACAGGTGTGAGCCACTGCACCCGGCCTAATAGCTGTATTTCAGTAAAATTGGTTTCCTTTTTAGGTATTTTATTTAGTGCATTTAAAAACATTATTTTAAGACACTGGAATGCTTCATCAGGCTGCCAAGGGGATTCTAGTACCAAAAAAATGTACGAACCCCTACAACAGAAATTTCCCTAAGTGTATACAAATACTTGCACGTGACTTTTTTAAACTGCATATGGTAGTATCTGTGTAATCTTTTATTAAACCACCAGTCTGACTATGCCACTCTCTCTCTGCTTAAAACTCTTTGAGGCCTTCAGGTCCCTGTTCGGGCGCCAAAGAAAAAAAAAAAAAAAAAAAAAAAACTCTTTGAGGCCTTCTCCCTTCTTCTCCGCTGTCTTCCAGACAAAGTTCTAGATTCCGCTCAGGGCAGACAAGGCTCTTTCCAAGAATGCATCTTGATCTTTTATGTCTCATTCCGTTCTACATTTACTCCCTCACCCCAAGCCCCTTTGTCCACTAACTGAACTCCTACTCACCCCTCAATACCTGCTCAAGTTTCCCCCTCTGGAAGCCTTCCTCAGCCCAGACAAAAGGAGGCTCAGGGATGGGGCCCCTTCCCCTCTGAGCTGCATTCTGGTCTCTGCTTTACAGGTGCTTGGCAGGCTGCCATCCAGTGCCTCGCCTTGCTCCTGAGACCCGGGACTGCTCACTGCCAGCAGCACGCCCACTTGCTAGGGGCAGAGGGGCAGTGGGAGTGTCTCCCATGTGCCAGCCCGTCCCCACCCTTGGGTTAAACTTCAATCACCAGGGGGAATAAGGTGTGACACCTCTGAGACGGTGGGCACATCTGCTGCTGCCTGACAGTCATAAGCTGTACCGTGCCAGTGACAGAGGCCAGGATGTCCACAGGTCCCACGCCTGCCACACACCCTGGGTCCAGAGTCTGCCCTGGACTCCTTGGCACCTTCACTTCCATCTGTGCCTCATGTATCCTCTCTGATTTCCCTGGAAGCCCAGGGGCACATTTCTCTCCCAGCACCAACCCTGCTGCATGCTCCCAGGCTGCGATGCTTTAAAACTAATTCCTGACCAGGTGCAGTGGCTCACACCTATAATCCCAGTGTTCTGGAAGGCTGCGATGAGAGGATTCCTTGAGCCCAGGAGTTCAAGACCAGCCTGGGCAATATAGTGAGACCCTCATCTCTAAAAAAAAAAAAAAAATTTTTTTTTTGTTTTAGTTATCTGGGTGTGGTGGCACCTGCCTGTACTACCAGATACTCAGGAAGCTGAGGCAGGAGGATCACTTGAGCCCAGGAAGTCGAGGCTGTAGTGAGCTGTGATCACACCACTGCACTCCAGCCTGGGTAACAGAGTGAGACTCTGTCTTAAAAAAAAAAAAAAAGTTAATCAATTAATTTTTTAAAACCCTTATTCCTACATTTGTTTGTTCTCTTAATCCTTATAGTAACCCTGCTGGGTGGGTGTTTCTCTTATCCCCATTTGCATAGTGGAGATAAATGTGTTTACAACTGCAAGTGCCTGATGTTTCTTACCAGAAAAGCTGAGAGAAATTAACTTGCCCAAGGACACACAGCAGTAAAGCAGGGGCTCAGCACTCAGCACCCCATGCCCTGGACATGTGCTTTTTCACCACAGAAGAAACAAGCTGCCAGGTTTAAGGTTTAGAAGCCCCTCTGGGGGTTTCTGTCTTCTGTTCACCCCTATCTTTGCAAGCAGCTCTGCCTTCAGGCCAGTCACACAGGCACTCAGACTCCCCGAGAGCCAGTGCTGGGCCTGACTCATGCCTGTATCCCTAGGACCTACGTTCATTCACCCATTCATCCAGAGTGTCACCTCTGCTATGGAAATGCCAGGCACCCCGCTGGGGTGAGTGGAAACAGACTTGCACCCTGCTCGCTGGAGGGGAAGGTCTGACAACAAAGATTGATACTCATCATTTAGTCCCTAAAACTAAATGTTTAATTGCAGACTATGATGAGCGCTGTGCAGAAGAGGTCCAGGGAGTTAGTGTGAAAAATGGGAACGCTATCCCAACCTGGAAGCCAGCCTGAAAAATGAAGATTTGAGCTGAGATCTCAAGAACCAGTAGATATCAACTAGGCAAAGTCGAGAGGGAAGAGAGGTCCAGAAAGAGGAGGTCGTGTGCAGAGGCCCTGTGGACAGAAGTAGGACACGGTATGTGAGGTATCCACAGAGGGATGGGATGGCCAGAACAGAGAGAGTAAGGGGGAGAGTGTCAAGACATGAGGCGCAGACCAACCCTAAACTTAGGCTCCTGAAAGCACCAGGAAGCCACTGAAGGGATGTGAGCTGCGTTGAGGTGAGTGGGTGTATGCTGGGGAGGGGGATGGAAATTAAACAGAAGTGCCTCGAGATCACTCTGGCTACAGCAAGTAGAGAGGATTTCAGGGGCAAGAGAGGAAGCTGGGAGATGAATAAGGAGGCTTCTGCAGAGGTCTTGCTGAGATTTGGACTAGGCTAGTGGTCCAGGGCTACAGAGAAATAAATGGGAGCACCCAGCAGAACTGGGTGCCTGGCCCAGAGAGGGTATTTGTGGAATGAGTGGCTGATGAACAACCAGGAGGCCCAGGGCCTGCCCTCTGTGCGCTTCCAATCACAGAGACTGCCTGTTGTATGGAGAAGAGTGAGGATCTGAATGGGGTGACTTCCTTGGGTGTGGGGGTGACACTAGTGGGAAAGGAGTCTTTGCAGACCAGGCCAGCACCTGCAAAAGAGCGACAGGCTGGAGTCACAGAGGTGAAAGGCTCAGCTCCTGTCCTCAGGAGCCCATAAACAGATCCTAAGAGGAGAGTAGCTGCTACAGTCAAAGGACAGAGCTGGGGAACAACTACCCTGCTGGCCTGGGGAAGAAGGAGGCAGGGATAGAGGCAGAAAGAGCATTCGCCACCAGGAGAAAACTCTTCCCTACCAGTTTCTGAGGTCCAGGGAGGGGCCACCAGGGACTGTGGTGCAGGCTGTGCCCTGAACAACTCCATATGAGAATGGTGCCCTGGACTTGTGCAAGGCAGCAGCCCTGGGAGCTGCCAGTGGTCAGCCAGCGTGTAAACCAGCGGAGTCCCATGCCATAGGCTGTCCATTGGGCTGGGCTGGCCTAGGTTCCATAGAGCTGGGCTGCAAGGCAGAGAGCACTAGAGTGACCTGGAAGGATAGGGCTGATCCCCAAATCCCCACTTCTAGAACTGGGATACTGACCTTGTAATTGGACATACTGTGTGCCTAAGAAGAAAAGACCCCTAGGGCTCTACCCTGAGGGAGTGCTAAGAGGCTGGGACCTGACCCAGGGGGCCTCTGAGAACCCTGAAAGCTCCTCAGTCTCAAACCCAAACCACCTAAGCGTCAGCAACTGTCAACAAGGCAATGCCAGACCTCCCAGAGTCTTGGTTCTGCCCTGTTCAGAAAATTACTTTGAAATGCACAGGCCAGGCACAGTGGCTCACATCTGTAATCCCAGCACTTTGGGAGGCTGAAGTGGGAGGATCACTTGAAGCCAATAGTTAAAGACCAGCCTGGGCAACAAAGCAAGATCCATCTCTACAAAAAAAAAAAAAAGAGAGAGAGAGAGAGAAAGAGAAAGAGAGATGGGCATTGTGGCACATGCCTGTAGTCACAGCTATTTGGGAGGCTGAGGTGGAAGAATTGCCTGTGCCCAGCAGTTGGAGGCTGCATTGAGCGATGATCACACCATCCACTTCAGTCTGGGAAACAGAGCAAGACCCTGTCTCTAAAAAAAATATATAGTCTGGGTGTGGTGGCTCATGCCTGTAATCCTAGCACTTTGGGAGGCCAACGCAGGTGGATTATCTGAGGTCAGGAGTTCAAGACCAAGCTGGCCAACATGGTGAAACCCCGTCTCTACTCAAGATACAAAAAATTGGCTGGGCGTGGTGGTGTGCACCTGTAATCCCAGCTACTCTGGAGGCTGATGCAGAAGAATCACTTGAATCTGGGAGGTGGAAGTTGCAGTGAGCGGAAATTGCACCGTTGCACTCCAGCCTGGGCGACAGGATGAGACTCCATCTCAAAAAAAAATTTTTTTTAATTAAAAAAATAAGAAATGAAATGTACAAAAGAAAATGCATGGGATTGGACAGGCACGGTGGCTCATGTCTATAATCCCAGCGCTTTGGGAGGCCGAGATGGATGGATCACAAGGTCAAGAGATCGAGACCTTCCTGGTCAACTTGGTGAAACCCCGTCTCTACTAAAAATACAAAAATTAGCTAGGGATGGTGGCACGAGCCTGTAGTCCCACCTACTCAGGAGGCTGAGGTAGGAGAATTGCCTGAACCCAGGAGGCAGAGGTTGCGGTGAGCCGAGATCGCGCCATTGCACTCCAGCCTGGGTAACAAGAGTGAAACTCCGTCTCAAAAAAAAAAAAAAAGCATGGGATGACAAATAAACATTATTTTGAATACAGGTATCGAAAGATGGAAAAATAAATTCCAGCTCAGAAATAGATGTGCTTCCTTACTGGTGCATTAGATAAGATCTAATGCATAATAACTACCAAAATTTCAAAATAATGATGGAGGTAAACAGAATGTCAAGACATATTCTGAGGTAACTGCAACAACTGGATTGGAATCTAACAGCTGATAGCCACCGTCAGGTATCTGTGAGGAAGTCAGCAACAACATCACTAATAGCACTATGATTCTGTTCCCCATGTTCATAACCTTAGTTCGATGTTAGTGAATAGGTGATAGTTTTCCCCATTTAACTTCGTGGATCCTCGGAATTCCATGCCCCAGTTAAGAATCTCATGATGCAGGAAGAACAAGTCAGCGAGTTGTGCTCCAGCTTGACAGGCTGCCCAGGAGGTGGGACGGGGACACAGTGCCAAAGCCACTAAGGTTAATGAAGGCTTCTGGATGGAACTTTGGAACAGGTCTTGGGTTTTGATCCATAGATAGAGGGAGATCCATCAGAAACATAGAGGGGAAAGGAGCCATGTATTAAACACACCGGTGAGTCTGACCTTTTTTTTTTTTTTTTTTTTTTTTTTTTTTTTTTTTTTGATACAGAGTCTCACTCCAGTTGCCCAGATTGCGGTAGTGCAGTGGTGTGATCTCAGGTCTCTGCAGCCTCAACCTTCTGGCTCAGATGGTTTTGCCACCTCAGCCTCCTAAGTAGCTGGGACTCCAGGTGCCCACCACCACACCCAGCTAATTTTTTGTATTTTCACTAGAGACTGGGTTTTGCCGTGTTGCCGAGGCTGGTCTCGATCTCCTTTACTCAAGTGATCTGCCCGCCTTAGCCTCCCAAAGTGTTGGAATTACAGGCGTGAGCCACCATGCCCAGTCTGTTGCTCCCTTGGAGTATGGAAATGGGGTCTCAAAGTGACGTGACTTAACAGAGCCCAGCCACAGGAAGTGGCAGGCCCTGGGAAGATAGCTCTGGATTCAGAGTCCCAGCTCATTTTCCCTACACCCCACCAGTCACAGGGAGCCCGAAGCTGAGGACACCCACAAATGCAAGTGATCATGCTCAGGATAACAGGTGAAAGCTGGAGCTGGGGAACCAGGTGGCCTGGTTTCTCCACTTACTATGTGTGTGACTTTGAGGCATTTTTGAAATGTATTTACTCCTTTCTTTTTTCAACTGTGAAATGGGAACAATAGTTATTACCTCTGAGAGCAACTAAATGCAATTTTTAAAAGCATTTGAGGCCGGGCGCGGTGGCTCAAGCCTGTAATCCCAGCACTTTGGGAGGCCGAGGCGGGTGGATCACGAGGTCGAAAGATCGAGACCATCCTGGTCAACATGGTGAAACCCCGTCTCTACTAAAAATACAAAAAAACTAGCTGGGTGTGGTGGTGCATGCCTGTAATCCCAGCTACTCAGGAGGCTGAGGCAGGAGAATTGCCTGAGCCCAGGAGGCGGAGGTTGCGGTGAGCCGAGATCGCGCCATTGCACTCCAGCCTGGGTAACAAGAGCGAAACTCCGTCTCAAAAAAATAAAAATAAAAAAATAAAAAAAAATAAAAGCATTTGAAGCACATAGAACATGATACCTGGCACAGAGTCATCCTCTGATACTTCTACAGAAATTTCTTCTCGAATCAGCAGAGTGAGCACCACCCCAACCCCCTTCCTTGTCTCTGACCAGAGAGTTCTAGGTGGACAGGGTAGAGGACACCAGGGTCCAGGAGGGTTGGCCTGTCCTTTGTTAAGGGGAGGGTAACTGGCCATTCAATCATTGCGGGTAAGGAGACACCAGCATCAGCAGAATCCTGCTGGGGGAAAGAGGGGGACTGGGTTTCTCTGGTCGAGGGTCAAATGACCCCACTCCTGGAGCTGATGAGTTTATGTCTGGGATGACAAGAAGTAGTAGAGGTTTGGTGGAAAGAGAGCTTGGCTTCAGACAGACTTGGTGGGGCTGGTGTGCGGCTGGGCAGCTGTGTAGGCTACACACTTAACAATTATTGGGAAACTATTCACAAAGACTACAAGGGGAATGCTCTTAGGTCGTGCTTGAAAGTTACACAATCCCAATGCCTTATCTGAGTTCCTTCCTGGCTCTGCCACTTACTGTAATAGTTCTGTGACCTTGAGCAGCCATTTACCCTCTGACCTTGTCTATAAGGTGAGACCACCACACCCATCTTAATGCCTGGTAGGTTTTCACGAAACCACAAAAATGACAATACTAAATTCCTAAGAATTGATCAATAAACGGCAGCTGGCTCTTTCCCCAGGCCACCTCCTACTCCCACCCCAGGGACCCTTCCCAAGCTTTAGGGTACTAAGGGTGTGAGGTTCCAATGGGTGAGCTCAGCCTGTACCAGGTGGAGAAAAAATGAGAGGGCGATAGGGTTGGTTAAGGGAGGAGGGGCTCCCTAGCCGCATTGTCCAACAAACCCCAGCATGGGGGCCCTTCCCTTGGCAAACAAAGAGTGGGAAGGTGCCCAGCCCCTGAAGAGGGGATACGGGTGCCCTCTCCTGGCTAATGATTCTCCAGCCGGGAAGCCTCCTGGCTAATGATTCCCCAGCGCTGGGAGAGGCTCTATCAAGGAGAGTGAGCCTCCATTCCTGCCCCTAGCTCCCTTTCGAGGCCTGAGGTCAGGCTTCTCTAGTCTTGGGGGCTTCATGTAGGAAAGGGGGACCTCTGGTACCCAAAGGCTCACAAGACTATGACTCAGCGTTGCCCCACAATTCCCTGCACAGCACAAGCATCTTGGGGGAAACTTCACAGAGCCTATAAATGTAAATTGCGCCTCTGGAGTTGTGTCATGCGGCAGCCACACCAGGATTGCTAGAAAGGAGATCCCCCACCATTCCCAAAACTCTCCAATGAATCATTCATTCAGACAAGATCTGCTCCAAAGCCTGCTGAGTCCTGAGCTCCAAGGATCCAGATGCCACAAGACCGACTCTGCCTGATGGAGAGCTCACTCCTAGCAGAGGGAACAAAGACTAAATATCCAACAAATAAACATATCTTGCAAGTTGTGATAAGAGCCGGGAAAGGCCAGGGTGCCAGGCAAAGGTTCACGTGGCCCAGCTCCCGCTCCTTCTTCTGGCAGCCCCTATCTCATCTTGGGACCCTCAACTGGGCCCCCTGCAATCCCCTTGTGCTGGAAGGGGACTGGTAACAAACTCCAGACTCTCCCATGTGGCTGGCCTATCACGTCCGGGCTCCCCAAGGCCAAAGACAAGGTGATACTGGTGCCTTGCTTTGTTTTTTATTTGCATTTTGAAAAGAGACCTTGGGCTTGGGAATCAATGACTGTGGGTGTCACAGGCTCTCCCCAGGCAGTTACGAATGGCCTGGTTTGTCTGAGGGACAGGAGGTGGCATGGCTCTGGGACACAGGCCAGCCCCCTCTAACAGCTCTGCCACTTCCCTCCCCCCTGCAGGAGGCCTACTGCGCGTACACCATCATCCTCATGGCGCTCTTCTGGTGCACTGAGGCCCTGCCCCTGGCTGTCACCGCCCTCTTCCCCCTTGTCCTGTTCCCTATGATGGGCATTGTGGATGCCTCTGAGGTGAGCCCCCATCCATAGGAGAAAGCATTCTGGGCAATGCAGGCGGCTGGTGGGGGGTTGGGTTCCCTCAGATCTTGTTGACTAAGAAAGCCTCATCATAGGCAGGGCACATGGATGAGGGGTTCCTGCCTCTGCATGAGGAAGAAGTCAGCTAGAACGCTGCGGGCTGGGGTGGGGAGGGGTGCGGAGAATTCGTTCAGAGTGAGAGTGATTAACCAGCCTTAGGTGAAAGGTGGAAGGCATAGCGAACTGAAGGCCAGCTAACACACTCGTATGCTTCTAGTTCAGTGGCTCTGGAACTTGAATAGCAGCGGAGTCACCCGGAGGGCTGGTGAAAACACAAACGGCTAGGTCCAGAGTTTCCGATTCGGTAGATCTGGAGTGGGGCCTAAGCATTTTATTTCTAACAAGTTCCAGGTGACGGTGATGATGCTGGCCCAGGGACCACAGTTTGAGAACTGCTGTCTAGTTTTTAGAAACAGCACTAAATTATCTATCTCACAGTCCATGGCTTGAAACTCGAATCACAGTAGATTATCTCCCAATTAATTGTTCCTAAAGGGAGATAAAGCGAGTTTGGCAAAAAGAGGGGAATCTGGTTGATACTAAATGGCAGATAATCCAGGCCGGGCATGGTGGCTCATGCCTGTAATTCCAGCACTTTGGGATGTCAAGGTGAGCAGATCACTTGAGCTTAGGAGTTCGAGACCAGCCTGCCCAACAAGGTGAAACCTTGTCTCTACAAAAAGTACAAAAATTAGCCAGCGTGGTGGTGCATGCTTGTAGTCCCAGCTACTTGGGAGGCTGAGGTGAGAGAGGATGGCTTGAGCCGAGGAGGCGGAGGTTGCAGTGAGCTGTGATTGTGCCACTGCACTCCAGCCTGGGCAACAGAGCCAGACCCTGTCTCCAAAACATGGAATTCAATTTTTTTTTAAATGGCAGATCATTCAAAGACCATTTCCATCTAGTTTTGAGAGACCAGGGAAATGCCAGTCTGTGGGAATGTCGGTGACCGCATCCCATAAGCTCGGGGGCACCGTGGGAGACTCCAGGGTCTTCCCATTGCTCAGCCATGTGTCCACCTGCCAGGTCTCCATCGAGTACCTGAAGGACTCCAACATCCTGTTCCTCGGGGGGCTGCTGGTGGCCATCGCGGTGGAACACTGGAACCTGCACAAGCGTATCGCCCTCCGTGTGCTCCTCATCGTTGGGGTGCGGCCAGCCCTGTGAGTTCCTTCACACCAGCTCGGGAGAACCTGCTGGGGAGATGTTCTATGCACCCGATCCCTGAAGGGAAGCTGGAACAGCAGTGTGTCTGTCTGCCCGTCCCTAGGCTAATCCTGGGCTTCATGCTGGTCACGGCATTCCTGTCCATGTGGATCAGCAACACGGCCACCTCGGCCATGATGGTGCCCATTGCACACGCCGTTCTGGACCAGCTTCACAGCATGCAAGCCAGCGGGGATGTCGACGAGGGCAGCAACAACCCCACCTTTGAGCTCCAGGAGCCAAGTCCCCAGAAGGAGGTGACCAAGCTTGGTGAGAAAGAGGAGTCTAGACCCTGCCCCAACCCCTTTGTTATTGGAGAGAGTCTGAGGGTCTGTCCGTTTCAAGGGATGGTCATCTTAGAGCTTTGAGGAGAGAAGAAAGACAGTAACCAATTTGTTTTTCCTTTTCTTAAAATGTCAAGTCCCCACCAGGCACAGTGGCTCAAGCTTGTAATCCCAGCATTTTGGGAGGCCGAGGCGGGAGGGTCACCTGAGGTTAGCAGTTCAAGACCAACCTGGCCAACGTGGGAAACCCCATCTCTTTTTATTTAAAAAAAAATTTTTTTTAACTTTTTATTAAAAAACATTTTTTTTAATGTCAAGTCCCCTGTGTTAGAAACCCCTCATCCCTGGGCAAACCAAGATGCTTGGTCACCGTAGCAATAAGACAGCTGGAGTGTAGGTGGACAGTCCAAGGCCTAGGCGCCATTCTTCCTGTGTGGTTCGGATCATCCTCCTTTCTTCTCTCAAGAGAGAGGTCAGACCAGATGGTGGCCGAGAGCACTCCCAGCCCGAGACTCTGGGGAATGCTGGGCCCCTCAGGCCTGGAGACAGCCTCTGTCCTCCTCCCAGCCCCGGTCTGCGCTGTTCACAGATAAGGTGCCCCAGAGGCCCTTGCAGCCCAGGCCATGTTCCCCCCGAGCTGGCCCTGTACCCGCCCCCACCTGGGCTCTCCCTTGTTTCCAGATAATGGGCAGGCCCTCCCTGTCGCGTCTGCTCCTCCAAAGGGAAGGACACATCACAGCCAGGAGCATCTCCGCATCAGCCAGTGCATGAGCCTGTGCGTGTGCTACTCTGCCAGCATCGGGGGCATCGCCACGCTGACCGGCACCACGCCCAACCTGGTGCTGCAAGGCCAGGTCAACTCGTGAGTGACAAGGGGTGGGGCATCTTGGGGGATCGACACACTCCCTGGCAGGTGAATGGGGCTGGACAGTTCTGGGGCAATGTCACACGGCAGCCCACATCCCTCCTGCAGGCTCTTCCCCGAAAACGGCAACGTGGTGAACTTCGCCTCCTGGTTCAGCTTCGCCTTCCCCACCATGATCATCTTGCTGCTGCTGGCCTGGCTGTGGCTGCAGATTCTCTTTCTGGGATTCAAGTAAGTGGCAAAGTCCCTGCCCTTAGCCCTGGGAGCTTCCAGTTATGTCCAGATGTGGAAAATGATATCATTACCATCCCAGTGAGAAGCCTTCTCCCTTCCAAGGCCCCTCTGTGCACGTGGATCTCCATTTGAGCAAATTACTGGGTACAGAGTATTACCCCATTTCACAGATGAGCAATCTGAGGCTTCAGAAGTGGTTCAACTAGATTTGTCAGTGCTGGGACTGCAAACCAGGTCACTTGATGCCCCTTCCCATAATGCTCCACCGTCCTTTAGGAGCACACTCTGAGCATGGTTAATTACAGAAGCACCTGCTGTGTTCCTACTGTATCCCAGGTGGTGAGTAAGGCACTGAATACTAGAAGGAACTAGGCACAGCCCTGTCCTTGTAGCCCATCAGGTGGATGATGATATGGTGGGGGCCATGACAGAGGGAAGCCCAGATGCACTGGGAGCACAGAGAACAGAGTGCCTAGTTCAGCCCAGGTGAGTGAAGATTTCAGAACACCCTGGAGGAGAGCGTGCCTGGCTGAATCTTGCAGGACTAGAAGTCAGCCAGGGAGAAAACGGGTGAAGACATTCCAGGCAGCAGGAGCAGTTTACACAAAGCACAGAGACAAGAAAGGACATGATGTGTTCAGGAGAACTCTAGTTCTCGAGGCTAAAACACAAACAGCAAAAAGGAGCATCAGGTCATGAAGCTAGAGAAGTAGGCAGGGGATTGTTCTGGAAGCTCTGTGTGCCACCTAAGCATCTGGACCTTGTCCTTGAAGCCAAGAGTAATAAGTAGATTCCATTCCTACTTCCAACCCGGGATTCCTGGCAGTCACTATCTGGAGCTCTAAGTTGGAAAATCGTGGGAGAACCTGCTAAGGCTCAGTTAGTATCAAGTCTGTGATTGATTAGTGATGTCTGCCATGCGTATGGAGTATGCGTGGTATGAGTGTTACTGTGATATGAATTATAATTTGCCCTTCCTGCCCAGGCAGTGGTGAGCCCTTGAAAGTTTTTAAGCATTGCTGCTGCACTTTGGAAAAATCACTTGGGAAATGTAAGGAAGCTGGATGAAAGTTGGGGGCTAGCAGAAGGCAAGGTGGTAGTGGAAGAGAGATCAGCACAGTGCCAGGCACCATGGGGGAGTCAAAAATGGGTGAAGCATGAAGGAACTCACAGTCCAGCAGGAAGCTTGAGATTGACCCAAGTGGAAAGTTAAATGTCAACACGAATGAAGTCAGCAGCAGAAGGAAGTGGGCTGCAGCCCATTGTGCCTCTGAGACAATGCAGGTGGGGCTCAGGCTGGCAGGGGATGCCCAGAGCAGGCGGAGGAGGAAAGGAAGACTTCCCAAAGGCTGTTGGAGGAAGAGAGCTGTAAGCCAGGGCCGGAAGAGGTCCCGAGGTCTGAGCTGCTATGTCCTCCTCATCCTGGGCAAGGGAGGATTCAGCACCATAGAACCCCTGGAGGAAAAGGGGCTCAATGGAGCAGGGCCAAGCATGGCGAAACCCAGCTCCCCCTGCTAAGCACAAATTATGACCCCTAAAAGTCTTCTACTCTTCCTCCAGAACTTCAGGTGGAGCCGGGGCCTGAGGGTCATGGCCCTGAGACGCCCTCTTGTGAGCGTCAGCCTTTAGGTCTTAGGCACTCTGAGCCCCTTGCTCCCTGCCTGGTGCAGGCCCCCCACGAGCTGCCCCGCCCCTCTGCCTACAGCTTCCGGAAGAACTTTGGCTTTGGGGAAAACATGCAGGAACGACAGCAGGCAGCCTACGGCGTCATCCAGATGGAGCACAGGCTGCTGGGCCCCATGACCTTCGCAGAAAAGGCGGTCAGCATCCTGTTTGTCATCCTGGTGCTGCTCTGGTTCACCCGGGAGCCGGGCTTTTTTCTTGGCTGGGGCAACGTGGCTTTTCCCAATGCCAAAGGGGAGAGGTGAGAGTTGCAGGGAATGGGAGGAGGACACGTCTGGGGCTCACATGCTGGGGAGGAGGGAAGGGTGTAGGTCTCCAGTGCAGAACAGGAGGTAACGCCTGGTGGGGGATGAGGGTTCCCCAGGCTTGTCTTCGGGAGGGCTCTACCACCCTCAACCCCACAGCCCTGAGCAGCCCCAAGCCGCTAAGCCAGCCCTCCCTGCACCCTCTACAGCATGTTGTCCGATGGGACAGTGGCCATCTTCATCGGCATAATTATGTTCATCATACCTTCCAAGTTCCCAGGGCTGACCCAGGACCCAGGTAAGCACCTGGACTGGGGCAGGGAAGGGTCTCTGGGCAGCCCCTGCCTTCAAGTATGTAAGGTACCTTCCACCACATTTGACAGGAGTAGGCAAAGCCCAGAAAGGCTGGAGCGACTTGCCAAGGGCGCAGGGACTTGGGGACAAAGTTGAGATGTTGCAGAACTCAGGGTCCCCTCCTGCATGCGTTAAGCTCCAAAAGGGACCCACACAGGGAGCCCCCAAGTGGAGAGCCGAAAGGCCTGTGTGTTCTTTGGTGACCCATCCTTCTCTGCCTGGGGAGTAGAAAACCCAGGAAAGCTGAAGGCCCCTCCTGCCCTCCTCAATTGGAAGACAGTGAACCAGAAGATGCCCTGGAATATCGTGCTCTTGCTGGGTGGTGGCTATGCCCTGGCCAAGGGCAGTGAGGTGAGAGGCCCCCGGCCCCCTCCTCGCTCCTGTGTCTTTCTTTTCCCCAACGTGAAGGAGACTCTGCGGCAGGGAGAGAGGGGGTCTTGCTTCTGTCCCACAGAGGGGAGACCTGGTCGCCCTGTAGGAGTCCCCACGGGTGGGCAGAGCCTTTGCAGCAGCTGGGGACTTAGGTTAGAGCCCCCAGGAGGGAGGAAGAAGCACAAGCCCTAGAGACCTCTCCTTAGTTCAGCTCTCAAAGTCCAAGGGAAGGTGGAAGTCCCTGGTGGGCGGGGCCAGTTCCCAGAGACAAATGCCATCCCACCCCAGGCCCTCGCCCCCTGCCAGAAAGAGCAAGCCGTAACGTCCCCACTGAAGTAGTTGGGGTTGTGTTGACACGGTCTGCCCGCCGCAGCCACCAGGGGGCACCATGATCACACCCACTCAAGCTCTGGGGACCAGAACATCTTTTCCCAGAGCCTCCGTCCAAAAGAGGGAAATCCCTGACAAGGCATCCCCGGTCCTCCATGTTCTGGCTCAAACAGGAGGCAGCTGCTCAGGTCAGGGATGGATGCAGGGGACTCCCGGGTCTGCGGCATGGTCATCCACTGACTGTGCCCAGTGCTGTGGTAGGTGCTGGCCCCACCAAGCGAGATTAAGTCCCCGCTTCGTGGGCTTGCAGCCTGGCATTCCAGACGCGGCAGGGCAAGACCTCGGAGCTGCTCTGTCCCCATCCTCCCATCACCCTCTTCCAGCCTCTAGCAGGGTCCTCCCCCAGCTTTCCCTCCCTGCCAGGAGCAAGGTCCCCTCTGCTCCGAGCCACTGGACTGGAAGGGGCAGGAAGAGGGCTAAGGTTATCCAGGGACCTCCTGAGAGGGGTCAGGAAGGCAGGAGTAGGTGCGGTCAAAGATTTTTGCTCCCATCAGGCTCCAAGGTTCCCGAGAAGGCCCTTTGGCCCCCTCTCCTAATTCCTCATCTGACCCTTCTTCCCACACCCAACTATTCTTCAAGAGCAGGAAAGGGCATCCCTTGGTCTTAGCTGGGTCCTGTCATCCCTCTAGAGCTGCCTTTGACTCTGAATACCAGGGACGTGTGAGCAGGAGTGGGATCCTCCCAGAGCCTTGGCGGAGGACTCGGGGGCCCAGGCAGCCTTGCCTCTCACACGCCATCCTGCTCTGCCCACAGCGATCGGGCCTGTCAGACTGGCTGGGAAACAAGCTGACCCCACTGAAGAGTGTGCCATCTCCAGCCATCGCCTTCATCCTCTGCCTCATCGTGGCCACCTTCACTGAGTGCACTAGCAACGTGGCCACCACTACGATCTTCCTGCCCATCTTAGCCTCCATGGTGAGCTGGCCCTCAGAAACACCTCCTCCAGGCAGCCCTCCTGCCTGCCCCACCAGAGGTTCTGCCTGCTGGGCAGAGTGACCTGTCTTTGTACCTCCTCTTTCCCTGAAGAGGACCCCTGAGCATCCATCCTTCTCTAGGCTCTTGAGCCACCTTGCACCCCAAGGTGCTCTGGCCCCTGACTCACCCTTTCCCTGGTGATGTCACCCCTGGAGTATCCTGATGGGGATTCTGGTGGCCTCACCTACCTCCCCACCCCAGTTCCTGTTCTGGTCATTCCTGAGGTGACAGGGTGAAATTGCTCCCCGAAGCGTCCCCAGCCCCTTCTTCCCCAGGCGTGTTCCTGCAGCCTTTGATGACACCCCCAGAGCCCCTTTGAGATCCGTTTTATGGGCCCCTCCCCTCACCACACCCCACGAGGCAGGCTGACACACTCATTCCCTCCAGAGAGGTCAAGAGGCCCTTCCCAGGTCACCCAGTGCCTTCTGGGAGAAGTGGTGGGTTCATGACCAGAGAGTGTGTGGGGGTGCAGGGGTTGCCCCCCAGAGAGGGGAAGCAGGAGAACTGGGGGCCATGCCTCCCCTGCAGGATGGCGACCAAGGCTAACTCTGCCCACTGCCTCCCATCCAGGCTCAAGCCATCTGCCTCCATCCTCTCTACGTCATGCTCCCCTGCACTCTGGCCGCCTCCCTGGCCTTCATGCTGCCTGTGGCCACCCCACCCAATGCCATCGTCTTCTCTTTTGGGGGCCTCAGAGTGTTGGATATGGTGAGTGGCAGGGAGGCTTGAATGCCTCATCCCTCCTTCCTGCTCTGACTTTCCATCTTGGTGAACCACAAAGCAGCTTAAAGCCACTGAGAGCCTTAGAGTTGAGTGGGCCCTCATCTGGGGTGAAGGTGCCGTGGGGGAGGTTGGGACATGACCTCTCAGTGGCAGCATCTTCAGGCTGTGCCAGCCCCCCGCTATGTGAGAGGGAGGGAAGTGGGCGGGGAAGATGAGGAAGGCTCCAAGGTGTCAGGCACCCACACTCAGGGAGCTGAGCTCAGAGAGAACAAGCCCAGGGCCCTGGGAGCTCGGCAGGAGCGCCCCTTTTCCCTGATAGCACTGGGAGTAAAGCAAGGGGCAAAGGCTGTGGCTATGCTGCAGATGAGGCCAGCTCCGAGGTCTTGCCCTGCCGCGTCTGGAATGCCAGGCTGCAAGCCCACGAAGCGGGGACTTAATCTCAATTGGTGGGGCCAGCACCTACCACAGCACTGGGCACAGTTAGGCCAAAGGAAGGACTTCCCAGAGAGAATTTTGCTGGTGGAAGGGCTCCTATGCACCCCTGAACACCCAGAGGCTTAGGGGCGGCCCAGCCTGGCCCCTGCTTAGCCAAACTGACTCTCCTCCCTCCAGGCCCAGGCAGGATTCCTGCTCAACATCATTGGGGTCCTGGTCATCACACTGGCCATCAACAGCTGGAGCATGCCTATCTTCGACCTGCACTCCTTCCCCTCCTGGGCACAGTTAACCAACACCACAGCCCGCTGCCTGCCCAGCCTGACCAACACCACCATGCCAAGCCCCTAGACTGGGGCTCACCCTGGCCATGCCCAGGAAGAACCACCCTGTTCCCACTCCTCTGAGCCAAGAGGGGACACCCCAAGTTCCAAGCTCCTAGCCAAAGGCTGAGAGAAAGGCGCGCGTGTACATAATCTCTTGTGTGTCTGTAAGGAAGGTTTATATGTTCAATTTCCTATGTGCTGGAAGAAAAGGTGTGTGTGTGTGTGTGTGTGTGTGTGCACCCGCGTGGACGTGAGGGGTGTGTGATGTGAGGCCATCTGAGGGTGCTGTGTGCATGCACATGATCCTAGGTGCATATGCTGGACAGTGCACGTGTGTGTTCACAGACAACACAACACACCCTCTCTGGCACCTCACACCTTGGTCTCCTCAGCTTAGAGACCAGACTTCTTTGCACTGTATTTATTGAAACTCAGGCTTGGAGTGCCCTGGGAGGAGGGCCTGCCAGCGGTTGCCATGGGAACAGCCTCTGGGACTGGCCCAGCACACTGAGGGCTCCCCAGCCCTTCCACTTTGGTGGAAGTTCAAATATTAACCACATTAAAGTCTTTTTCAGTAAAGTCTGGGATGATTTTTCACAGCACTCTCCGGGGCTGGTCCCCAATGTGGTTCAGACCCCAGGTTGGGGGGTCCAGTGGGAAGGGGTCTGGCCTCTGTCCTGTATGCAGCCCCCCAGGCACCCCTCCAACCCAGGGGGGAAGGTCATGGTCCAGCATCCCTGCCAAGGCCCTTCAGAGTGGGCGCAGCCACCTAGGAGAGCCGCACTGACATCACTGGGCCGGCTAATTGGGAGCTGCCAGTCTCTGCGTGTCTTTGGGAAACCGGCCTCCCTGTTCCCAGAGCACTCCCTGGGTATTTACATAAAACCCTCTGCCCCTGCCAATTCCTCATGGACCCTTCCTCCAGCTGGAAAAACCGGTCCCACCAGGCCAGAGGAGGCAGGCTGACCTGTGCTGGGTGCCCAGGGGATGGACCCTCGTCCTGCAGCACGGGAACAGGCTGGGAACTGGCATGGCCTTCAGAGTCCAGGACCAGACACCTGTGAACAATTCCGCCTCCCCCCACAACCTCTACCTGGCCTCCCCGGAACTCTCCCACCCCACACCCTCACGGCCTCCAGAGTTTTCATTTATCTACAAGGTGGAGTGGGGATGGGGAAGAATGATACCACATCCATCATTCCTTCTGCGAGCCAAACAGCCCTTCCCGCCTGGAAATTCATCTTTGTGTTGCTAAGTCCTCCCACCGTGGACAGTGGCGTGTCAGCCTAGAGTTCATCCAGATGGAAGTTTCCCAGAGTCTCGCCCCATCCCCTCCTGCTCCAGTGGGAAAGAGAAGAGACACTTCCCATCCCCTTCATGCCCACAGGAAAAGCGGGGCTGGGCTGTGAAGAGAGAAACCCAGAAAGGATTGCATTCTGGATCCCCCTGGGCCGGGCTTCCACTGGGTCCTCCCGGAGCTGGGGTTGGGAGTGCTGATAGGAGGGGCACTGTGCGGGGGAGTAGGCAGCTGTCCCCAGGGGACAGAGGGTCCTGACAGGACATGCCAGGCATCCCAGAGAGGCAGGAGTGTTGTTCAGGTGGCTCCACCCCAACCCTGGCCCCCCTAGGCTGGCATTCCTCACTCATGAAGCAGAGCCATAAATCACTGTTCCCACTCAGACCCACAGGAGGACCCCCTCCCACCCACCAAAGCCCCAGGCAACAGTCCCCTGCATGGGAAATGGGCGACCCCAGAATGGTGTGGCTCCCCCAGTGGCCTACCCACAATGCAGTGGGTCCCTAAGGAGCAGCCCAACTCCATCTGCAAGGAGGACCCTCTGCTGCTACTTCCTTCTGGACCCCGGCTGGGGAAAAGGAGAGTGTGCTTCTCAGGGTGCACATGCCCTGCTCACTGTTCTCGGCTCCACTTCCCCCTCGGTCCGGCTCAGAGAGGGTCAGGTGTGGACTGAGGTCACACAGCAGTCCCAGGAAGTGAGGACCGGTCCTGCTTTCTCTGGGAAGGAGGTGGACGCCAGCCAGCCTGAGGGTCGCGAGGTTGACCATGGTGGGTGCTCTGGAGCCAAGCCTCCCCTAGGTGCTCAGAAAACATCCTCTTCAGCAGGCAGGAGGGTGGACAGGCGGCAGGTGGCACCTGTCGGCCTCATCACCATCATTAACTGGGCAATAAAGTAGCACGGCCTGGGCCGGCTTTGAAGGAAGGGCCTGCCAGCTGGGTCAGGTTTCTACAAGCAGCCCAGCAGCTCGGCTCCTCCACACACTCCAGGCGGTGGCCGGTAGAGGGGCCCTGCTGGGACTGGGTCTGCGCCCTTGATGCCCAGGCACCCACACCCCTTCATCGATGGCTTCCAGGAAAGTAGCAGCGAGCTTTGGGTGTCTCCTACCAGCCGGACTTGGGCCACGCTGGGACTCAAGAACTTCTGCAGCGTAAGCGTCCCATTGCTAAGATCCACGAGGCTGGAAGCCACTTGAGGACAGTCTGCCTGTTAGAGCTGTGTCCCCAGTTCCCAGCAGGGCCCGGCACGTGAAGAAAGGAACGTATTGGAAGCATTCAGAGCTTCTTTTTTTTTTTTTTTTTGAGATGGAGTTTCGCTCTTGTTACCCAGGCTGGAGTGCAAAGGCGTGATCTCGGCTCACCACAACCTCTGCCTCCTGGGTTCAGGCAATTCTCCCGTCTCAGCCTCCTGAGTAGCTGGGATTACAGGCACGTGCCACCATGCCCAGCTAATCTTTTGTATTTTTAGTAGAGACGGGATTTCACCATGTTGACCAGGATGTTCTCGATCTCTTGACCTCGTGATCCACCCGCCTCGGCCTCCCAAAGTGCTGGGATTACAGGCTTGAGCCACTGCGCCCGGCCAAGAGCTTCTTACTCTCAGGGTGAAGGTGGACACGCTGCTTTCCAAGTCTCTTTCCAGACTGCCGTGTGTGGAGTAGTACGTGGCCTTGAGAAACGTCTTGAATTCTCTGGGCCAATGTCACGTTAAGCTCAGCAGATAGGCCCAGATTTCTGAGCCCACCCATAGTGTTCCCCTGTCACTGTCCCCTGAGGTCCTGGGAGTATCCCTGTTTCCCTACCCGCTCCTCCTGCCAGCCAGCTCCAGCCCTCTAAGGCAACCAGAGGGCTCAGGGATGGGCGGAGCTTGCTAGGGAGCTTGTAGAGGCAGGGGCGGGCTGTCCACACCACTCTCGGAGTTCACCTGGACCTGGGCCCCAAGCAAAGGGCAGCCCTGGGGGTTAAAGTCTTTGGTCCCAGAGTAGGCCTCTTGGGGACACAGGCCATGACTTCCCTGCCTACTCACAGTCTGGAGGGGCGGCTGCTTTCTGAAGGAGGGAGGGAAGGGTGGAGGAAGCTTGGGAGTGCAGGGTCCGGGTCGGGTAGAACTGGGTGGGTGAAGTTCTGGTGGAGCGCCAGCCTAGAGAGGGTGTCCCTGCAGCCTCCCCCCAGTTTGGCGAGGGAAGGGGAAGGGGGTGTGCAGAGGAGGAGGTGAGGAAGGAAACAGAGCAGCCTGATTGGCAAGAGTGTGGCAGGGACCATAAGCATGCTCCGAAGGGTAGAAACACCCACAGATGTGTGTACGTGCAGTCACAGATCCATGGGTACCCACAGAACCCACAGACACGTGCACAGACATGGACACTTGTGAACACACAGTTACATACATTCACACACAAACACTCATGCGCACAATGTTACAGGCACTCACAGCCTGGAAGACACACAGGACCACGCCCAGAAACACACACAGACATACACAGCCACAGCCAAGTGCACACACACAGTCGCTCAAACTCCTCTGCACCCCATGTCAGACCTGAGTGTTTGACTGCATGCAGATGCCCACACTTAGACGCAGATTCTGGCACGGACATACCCAGTAGCACATTACAGCTCCACAGACTTCATGCGCACCCACGGCGGCACACAGGCGTGAGAACACAAATGTAAATACATACACACTCATGCAGAGGTACACACGTTCTTACACAGACACTGACACCAGTGAAAACACACACACCCCAGCATTGCTTCTCCCACCTCCACAGCAGGAGGGATTAAGGCAAGAGGCAAGAAGCCCTCCCCACCCAGCAGGAGTTCGTGTTCCTCCCTCCTACCATCCCCCCCACCAAGCTCTCAGATTGGAAACTCCCTGGATTTCCCAGGGGGTCAGCCAACCAGAACAGGCTCAGACCTCCCGGCCCAGCTGCCCCGCCACACACCCTCCACAGCTCCGGGTGCTTCTCCATCAGCCACAGCCAATGAGCTGCTTGCTCTTCCCCAGGAAGCTCACCCTAATTAACCCCAGATCCCCCCACCCTTTCTTTGATGTGGGGTCCCCTGGGCCTCAGGGCCTCATGGCAGCCATGCTTGGGGCCTGTTCCTCTGTGGATGTTCTTCAGTGTCTTGCACACCAGTGGAGTGAGAGTTGGAAAGCAGCAGGCTCAAATCTTGGGAACTCATTTTAGAAAGGCAAGTCCAGCCTGCAGAGCAGAAGCGGACAGAAGATGGCCAATCCAGACGCGAGGTTCAAGGAGGGGTCCCCCTCCTCTATCACATTGGGGCTCCCAAGGGTGGGCACACACTCTTCCTTCTTCCTTGGGTCCCTAGGGTCTTTCCCCAGACTGAGGCATAGCAGACATTGGTCCCAGGGATTTCCATCCCCAGCCAGGGCTGTTTTCTGGTTCAAAGCAGCCCAGCCCTGGGTACAGCTCAGCAGCACACAGTGAACCATTTCCGATCTCCAGTCTTCAGAGGAACAGAGCTTCCTCTGGCCCCAGCCTGTCTAACCAGCGGCAGCTCCTCCAGGCCAGAGTCCAGCTCAGCTCCACCTGAGGACCTGAAATGAGGAGGCTGGAGTGTGTGGGACCAAAAATCCAGACAGAAGTCCTTTCCCAATACTGCAGCAGCTAGAGTGGAGGCTAGACACCAGGACAGACTTTTGGGCCTAAGGGAGAATTCTGAAGGGTTGGCATGATGAGAGAAGGAAGGGATGGTCCTATCTAGAGACAGAGGAGAAAGACCTCACAAATTCCCTTTCACTCCAAGCTCTGTGGCAATGCCAAGGCTCCTGCTTCAGCTCCCAGGCTGTATGCAATGAGGAAGTTGTGCTTCCCAAAGGAAAGAGGCAGCCAGAGCCAGAGCCCGCACCCATTCCTGGGGCAGAGGTGGATCCTGTCTTGGAAGAGAAAGAAGTTCATCTCATCCATCAGAAGCAGTCTCACTGTGGGAGGTGACAACTACAGTCTCTCCTGGGCATCCCATCAGGGCCTCCCTGGGCCCCTTGGCCCCTGAATTAATTTGCATTTTCTTGATTTTTAATGAAGTTGGAAATCTTTTTCACTTGTTTTGTTTTTTGTTTTTTGGGTTCTTCTTCTTCTTTTTTTTTTTTTTTTTTTTTTGCCATTTGTATTTTACCTGTGAATTGCTTATGTCCTTTGCCAATTTTTCTGTGAAATCATCTTTTTATTTATTTAGAGGAACTCTTTATATGTTGTGGATATTAACTGTTACATATGTTATATTAACAGATTACTGTTAATCTGTTACATATGTTACAACA